AATTGTGTTATTGGTACTCTGTCCATGCTGATAAGTACTGAGCTCAAAGTTCCCTGTTACACAAAGAAAAAGCAAAAAGAGTCTCTTCCCTGAGAGCTTACATAGAATGTAAATGAATGGGAATAGAATGGGAAATATAACATATACACGGATTGGTACATACAAGATAATTACAGAGTGGATGGAAGATAACTTTAGTGAAGACAGTAGCGGCTAGGGAGTGGGCATGGACTTTTGGAGAAGCTGCTCCTGTGTGGTCTGTAAAAATTGACTGACAGAATAACCTAACCCTTTTTTCCTCTTTTGCCTTAATAATTGTGCTATTCATGTGGAGTGCCTAGTAGGGGTGGGGAAGGAAGAGTGTTTTCTCTCTTCTCCCTAGGAGCACTTGATTTTGGCACGTATAGAAATTGTGTGCTTGCACATAATTTAAGAGAAGAGTATATGAATTTGGACTTTTCCAGGTTAAGAGATGATAGCAACTGAGGCAATCCATTTCCTTCAGAAACACATTTCTGATGCAAATATTTGACAAAGTAGGAGACTTCCTGGACAATGTTCTCGGAACCCCAATTTCCTTTGTAGAAGAAGAATGATTTTAATTTCCTAGGCAATGTGATCCCCGTAATCTAATCATTTATCCAGAGAGAGATATTCTGGGTAGCACCCACCTTGGGTATTGCACCATGGCTGACTCTAAGTTTGAGAATTCAGGTATCAGACCTAGAGAAAGAGGAATGCCCACATGGTTTTTGTACTGTTTTGGTTTTTTCTTTTTTTGGTGAGGCAATGGGGTTAAGTGACTTGCCTAGGGTCACACAGCTAGTAAGTGTCAGGTGTCTGAGGCCGGATTTGAACTCCAGTCCTCCTGACTCCAAGGCCAGAGTTCTATCCACTGCCTTTTCATTTATTTATTTTCGAGAGGTATTGTATGGGATTTTTTTTTTTTTGGTGAGGCAATTGGGGTTAAGTGATTTGCCCAGAGTTACACAGCTAGTGAGTGTCTGAGGCCGGATTTGAACTCAGGTTCTCCTGACTTCTGGGCCGGTTCTCTAGCCACTGGGCCACCTAGCTGACAAACCCACATAGTTTTTGAATAGCATTGACCGGGGGGTGGGGCAGGAGGAAGCATCACTCGTGTGGTCCCTGTAGCTGAAGGACTAAAACTATATCATGTGGTGTGGGAAGTGGCAGTGGGTAAGAGACATTTCCATGGTTCTTATTATTACTCTTAATCCTCTGGTCTTATTGGAAAGGGATTTGCTATTTGACTACTACAAAAAGTATGTTTCTCTTCCAGGTAAGTTCAGGTTTTCAGAGGGCCTATTAGTTTAAAGGAAGATTCATTCGAAATTCAGGACCACTGTGACTGCTTTCCTGTATCTGTTTTATGGAATGTTAGAAGTCTTTTGTGTATCCCTTGGGCATCTTCTGCATGTGTTTATGAACTTCTATGAATCTAGCAGCTAGATGGCTCAGTGGACAGAAGCTGGGCCTGGAGTCAGGAAGATGTAAGTTCAAATTTGACCTCAGATATTTACTAGCTGTGTGACCCTGGGCAAGTCACTTAACCCTGTTTGCCTCAGTTTCCTCATCTGTAAAATGAGTTGTATAAGGAAATGGCAAACCACTTCAGTATCTTTGCCAAGAAAACCCCATGGACAGCATTGGTATTCTCTGGTCTACAGGGGTCACAAAGAGTCAGACATGACTGAATAACAATGAATCCTTCATTTTCTGTGAGATGATAGGCATTATTTAATTAAGCACTTGCATTGGAGCTGGGAATGCTATTGCCCACATTTGGGAAAAGCTAGCCATGTTCTATAGCTAACTTCTGCATTGGAGAATTCCTCCAAATAAACTCCAGGGTAATGGCATAATGAGCCAAAGATAAAAAGCCTTTAGGGACTGACTCCCTCCCTCATATTGTCCCTTATCTAAATAAAGGATATAAGTAAGAGAACTGCTAGGAAGCAAAAAGGATCCAGCCGAGATTAGCTAAATTTATGGGGAAACCAGTCAGCACAGGAAGTAGACAAGGTAGTTGGAGGAAGTGATGCAGGTTTGGGGATTTGGCTGGGCAAGGTTAGGACGAAGGGTGAGTATACATTGAAGGACAATGTATAGCTGAATTGGTTAGCTTTAGTTTCAAAACTGGTAAGGGAAGAAAAGTGAAACCAAAACAGAAGTAGTGGGTTATGGAAAGGGGGAAAGATAGAAGGACTGGGAGAATAGTTCAAGTGAGATGAAGGGAAATGGAAGGATGGGAGATTATATTCAGAGAGAGGAATTTCAGAGTTCAAAATCATGAAGGTGGTGTGATAATAGGTCATTGTCAGTATCCTTGGGGGTGACTGGAGTTGGGTGAAGCTGTAAGACAGGGGAGTAAAGGAGGTTGTTAATAAACTAGGTGATCAGAATGTTTGAAGGGACAGCATCTAATATATAGTCCCCAAGTAGTAGAGGTTAAGTTGAAGAGAATTATGGCCCAAGGCCTGAACTTGAAAAAGGGGTGAAGTGAAGACCAGCAGATGAAAAGAATCCGGACCAGTGAACTTTTTTTCTCTTCTCTGAATGCCCTTAGCAATTAACATGTCTCTTAGATCAATTATGACAGTCTTCCCTGTATTATATTTATTCATACAACAGGAAGCTAGATAGGGCACTGGATTGACCACTGAGTCTAGAGTCAAGAAAACCTGAGTTCAAATCCAGCTTCAGATACTTCCTAGTGATGCAACCCTGGGCAAGTCACTTAATCCCTGTTTGCTTCAATTTCCTTATCTATAAATTGGGGATAATAGTACCTGCCTCCCAGGGTTGTTGTGAGGACTAAATGAGATTTGCAAAAACTGCTTATCAAAATGTCTGGCACATAGTAGGCACTCTATAAGTGTTAGCTGTTATAATTGTTGTTGTTGTTATTATTATTACATAACCCATTCCTACTAGACTGTAAGCTCCTGAGGTGAGCGACTGCTTCTTCTTCATTTTTGTCTTCTCCACAGGTACTAGCACAGTAATTTTGTGTCATTGTGTCTTCATTTTTCACTTTACATTGGTCTTTAATGAGCCTACTAACCAAACAATACTTTATACTAGCTGACACTTAGTTTTTTCAGGTTTATGAAGTACTTCACATATATTATCTCCTTTGATCCTTAAGATAAGCTGTAAGATAGGTGCTATTATTATCCCTATTTTACAGATGAGATAAGAAAACTGAATCTAGTGAGAGATTAAGTGACTTGCCCAGGATCACACAGCTGCTAAGTGTCTGAGAGAAGATTCAAACTTAGGTCTTCTAGACTCCTAAGTCCAACGTTCTGGACACCATACCACCAAATAACATTGTTGTTGTTAAGTCCTTTCGAGTGCTTTCAACTCTCCATGACCCCATTTGGGGTTTTCTTGGCAAAGATACTGGAGTGGGTTGCCATGTCCTTCTCTAGCTCATTTTACAGATGAGCAACTGAGGCCAACAGGGCTAAATAATTTCTCCAGGATCACAAAGCTAAGTAAGAGTTTGAAGCTGGATTTGAATTCAGGTCCTCCTGACTCCAGGGTGGATTCCCTATCTGCTGTGCCACCTAGCTGCCCAATGACATTACAAAATCCTACTCTTGTTAAGACCCACCTAACCAGTGGAGCTTTTGCTCAGACCTTCTAGCCCTTTAGGACTTCATACCAGACCCGACTCTGACTATTCTTCTCCCCCCATTTGTCTCAGTAATAATGAGGCAAAAACCTGACCTGTAGTGGCCTTGGGCACTGGGTTAGGTCAAAGGCTTGATGTAAGCTGAGATAACTTTTGACCTTTGCTGGTCCCTCTGAGCAGGGTGGGGCAGGTAGCAGAGGGCAACATGTTCTGTGATCTTTGTGGCTCCCTGAGAGGGTATTTTCCTTACTCATGGTATATCCTTGACCACTCCTGAACCAAACTCACCCATGATGCCAGCCCTTCCCCCCAGCCATACAGGTTTCCAATGCTCAGAAACACTGCGAATCTAGCCTACTGCAGTCGGGGGGGGGAAGGGAGGTGATCACTCTTAGTGATCTCATTGACTAGAGGCCAAGCTTCAGCTGCAGAGCACTCAACTCCATTCCATTTCCAGAGTCATTTATCTCCTTACCAGCCACCAAGTCACTGCCCTCAAATTCCAACCTTTCTTCCAGTTCTGGGACTATAGTCCAATCAAGTCTGTCTTGGAAAACACATTCAATCCACTCTGTTCTATCTCTACCCATAATCCCTGTGTAACTTTCCATACCAAAACATCCCTCCCTGGCTACCACTCCCCGGTCTATGTTGTTTTTCCTTATTAAAAAACAAGTTCCAGTAAGACAGAGACAACCTTCACCTTGGTATTTGTGTTCCCGGAGTTTATCAAGGTACTTGGTACATTGTTATTGTCTAGTCATTTCAGTCCTGTCCAATTCTTTTTGACCTCATTTGGGGTTTTCTTGGCAAAGATACTGGAGTGGTTTGCCATTTCCTTCTCCAGATCATTTTACAGATGAAGAAACAGAGGCGAATCAGGTTAAGTGACTTGGCCAGGTGTCTGAGATCACATTTGAACTCAGGTCTCCTGTTTGCCACTGGAGAAATGTATACATATGTATGCATAAAGATTAGTCTGAAACATAGTATTTCTTATTAGGAACAGGGGTAGGAGGAGAACAGAGGTCAGAAAACTTTAGAGAGCTAGACCAGCTAAATGCTATAGTTGAGAATCAGTCCTATTCAATTTGAGCTGAGTTCAAATTTTCCCTCAGACATCTGCTAGCTATGTAACCCAGAATAAGTCAGTCAATGTCTCTCAATCTCAGTTTCCTCCTCTGTAAAACAGGGATGGTAGCACTACCTCCCAGGGTTGTTGTGAGGATCAAATGAGAAACTCTACATTTTGCAAACCTTAAAGCTGTATGTAAATACTGCCTGTTATCACATTTGATTCTCACAACTACACTATTAAGTAGAAACAACAGGCATCATCTAAATTGAACAAGTAAGTCTTAATCCCAGAAGTCTTAAGGGATTGCCCAAATTAAACTTGTGCCTTTTTTTTTTGTGTAGCACAAGTGGTAAGCTGGGTTCAGAAAGTGTTCCATCCACCTTCCTATATAAGCAAATGTAATGACTCTAAGGTGCTCGACTTTGTATATGTGTCTACATGAATAGATGTCTCTCTATGGCTAGGATTGTGAGTTCCTTAAGAAAGGAGGCCCTCATTCCCTGCACCAAAACCAGACTCCCTCTCCACCCCCATTTCCTTGGATGGTTCTATCTTTGTTCCATTCTCAGAACTAAATCCCTGGTATGGAGCAAAAGGGAAGTGAAGGGCTGTTGTTCTAGGAGCATTATAGGATATTCACATGACACTAGAGCCATTTTGCCTTCATAAGGAAGCAAAATAGGAAGTGAAGATGGGAAGATATAGAGTATATTAATAGTAATGCCACATTCCAGGTGTAGAAACTGTCTGCCTTCTCAAAAAGGTACAGTCCATAAAGAGTATTAGTATAAGATATGTGGGGGATGAGCTAGCCAGGAGGAAGTGATAGAGACCACATTTTTCTGTATACACATAATATGTAAAGATACAAGTACTCATTCTCACTTCTGAAATGCTGATGTGTGTAGAAAAGGGACTGCTCCTTCCCAATTCTGCATAAATCAGAAGCCTTATTAAAAGACAGAAGGATGGTGTATCTGTGCTTGATGGGGGTATGGAGAAGTATAAGGAAGAAGTGGAAGAGCTGAAACTCTATGCCTGGCTCTGCTCACATTCAGTTCCATGGAACCTAGCTGATTTATTTTACTTCCGTCTTCCATCAGAGCCCAAGAGTGGCTAATGGGAGGAAGTCTAGAAGGAGAAAGCAACTGTCCAAGACATTGTTGGAGTTCCCTTCATCATGGATAACCCCAAACTTTAGTTTCATCCTCTTCTTCTTCTGAGATGATGAATTTGAAGTTAAAGGGCATTTGACTCAACCCTTACTCCATTGCCTAGGGCATAAGGACTTGTGGACAGAATGACCAGCACTCTTCATTGTCAGAGAGGGATAAATTATTGAATGAACTGGAATGACCCACATTCCTCTGGTTACTTGGGAATCAGGATTAGTCACATTGAGATAAATGTTATTTTTCCTCCAGTCCCAAGTGTTCTCTGTCAAAAGGCCGAGAGTCAAGTGTTTCTGAGTCATACATGGTAGACTTTCTCTTCCTCATCCCCATCTCTCAAATCCAGACCATGGTTCACATGGCCCAAGGTGTTTCTTCGAAGGACCTCCCAGCCCCAGTGACTGGAGCTGCTTTGAGATGTAGTTCGGGATAAGGAGGGTGTGGGGGCTACTAATGAGGCCTTCCCCACCATTTTCCTCCTCCTCCTGGATTGTAGCTTCTCAGATAAATGTTCTTGTTCTGATTCATCTTGGTCAGAGGACTTGAAGGCTTCCACATATCGGAGCACACGAAGAGGGTTGTGATCCTGGAGGTCTTCAACTCTGCAAGGGAATGGAAAGAATAGGGTCAAGTGGCAAGGCATGGCTGGCTGGTAGTAGGGTGAAGGAAAGGAGGAGGCCATAGTGTATATGAAGTAGAAAAGGATAAGGAGGACAAGAGAATGTGCAATAGAGAATACTAGGATTGGGGGGAAACAGCAGCAAAAAGACCATGTAAAATGGAAGGGAAATGGACCAGAAAGAGGAGTGAAGAAAGGAATCATGGGGGAATGAGATTGAAAAGAACTGCAGAGAAGAGTGGAAGACAAGAGGATTAGGGAATTGAGAGAAGAAACAGTTTAAGAGTCCAGATGTATAGTCTAGATAGCAGAGTAGGATTGGGTACCCAGGTTTTGTCATAGACCATAAAGCAGAGACCAAAGAGGAACACTGACAGAAAGTGAATGGTACACACATCTGCATAGACCTGAAAACACATAAATTTGCTCATACTCATATTCACATAATCCTCATTCTTCTACCGGCTATACATTGTCCCTAAACCACCCCCCTCCTCAGACTTCAGAACCCCAACTTTATAGAATGACTTCTCCCCCTAGTGGACCCGGGAGGAAATCTCATGAAAGGAAGTGGGATTGTCAGAAGGAAAGACTGTTGGGAAAGGAATAAACAGCTCTCACCACTACCGATGCTCACATACCAACACATGCGTATGAGACTACCCCACACGCACTCCTGCTCACCTCAAGAACCAGCGATCTCCAAGCCCAAACTCTTTCCCGCAGATCCCTGAGCGAGGCCATAGGCATCGTGGTAGCTTCCTCTCCAACATTACTGTGGTGGCCACAACCTTTGTGGGGAAGTTGGGGAGAAAAGAAAATGATCAGAAATTGACTTGATATACTGAGTAAGTAAAGATGAAATGGGAACAAATAAAATTTCATACAGATGGATGTCAAGAAATAGGAGAAACAGAGAAGATAGATTATGCCTATTGAGAAGAAAATTTGGTAATCATTAGACATCGATAAAAGTTCACTAATAATAAATCATGTCCTATTAAACCCATTCCATTTTTCATATGATTTTTAGATATGCTTAGGTGAGGGATTCGTGTAGACATAGCATATCTTAATTTCAGCAAAGAACTTAAATTAATTCTCATGGATAAAATAATTAAATGTGAACTAGATAGAAATACTGTCTATTGTATTTAGGGTTGAACATCCAAATCCTAAATTGACAAAGTATTGATTAACTGTCAGTCTGGAGGAAGATTTCTACAGATGTCCCTGTCCTATTCAACAGCACCAACAGATTAGATTAAAAAAAAAACCTACAAATATCAAAAAAAGCTGGTAAAGATAGCTAATATAAGAAAAAGAAAATCACAACCCAGCCTAACCTTCATTTTCTTGGCTGTCATATGGGGTAGGGGTTGGTCAGGATGAGCTCTAGGATAATAAAGTCATAGATTTAGAATTAGAAAGGACCTTAGAGGTCATCTAGTCAAACCCTGTTATTTTACATGCTTTTATTGTTTGCCCTTCGTTCTCCAAGAGGACCATGACATTGGGAAGAAGATGTCATGACTTGCAAGTGCATTGGATTTAAGTGAGGGAGGGCTGTGCAAAGTCAGCAGCCTCACTTTCTCCTCCAGAGTCATCTAGGTCTAATGGCAATGGGGTCAGGCAAGGGGCAAATATGGCATTTGAACCTGGATCCTTTAACTCCAAATCTAGCACCATAGGTAGTGTGTGTTTATTTATTTATTTGAGATTCTCGGTAGTTCAAAATGGTGAATTGAAAATTGTAAGATTAACTTTAACAAGACCTGTGTAAAATCCAGTCACATGACTACAAGAAGTGGGAGGCATGGCTAGGCTGTTGTTTTGATACAGATTTGGCCATTCTACATAGCTAAAAGCAAACAGTGTGATAGAGAATTGAAAAGAAGATGGCAAAGTCTTAGGCTACATTAATAGAAGTAGGGTATTAATGGAAGTCATCTATTAATGTAATACAATAGTACATATGACCTCACAGGACTCTGTTCTGATCAGACCACACTTCAATTATTTTGTTCACCTCCGGATGCAATTAATTAGGAGAACATCAGCTAGATGAGGGCAACCTGAACTATGCCATCAGGGAATGATTGGACAAAAGAGAGATGTTTAGCCTGAATGTTGTTGATATTCACTCATTCATTTGTGTCTGATTCTTCCTGATCCCATTTTGGGGTTTTCTTAACAAAGGTTTTGGACTGGTTTGCCATTTCCTTCTCCAGCTCATTTTACAGATAAGGAAACTGAGGCAAACAGGGTTAAGTGACTTGCCTGGAGTCACGCGGCTAGTAAGTGTCTGAGGCCAGATTTGAAGTCAGCAAGACAAGCCTTCCTGACTCCAGGCCTGTCACTTTATCTGCTGTGTCACCAACTGCCCCATTTAGTCTGAATACAAAATAGTTTTTTCAAGCGTTTACTATGTGGCGGGCATTATATTAAACACCAGAAATACAAATACAAGCAAAGCAAGCAAGGCAGTGACTGCCCTCAATACCTTACATTCTAATGGGAAAAAAACTGTAAATATAGCTAGAACTGGGCACTATGTAATAGAGAAAAGAAGGGGTGAGAAATGATAGTTGTCTTTAAAGATTTGAAAGATGGCTTATCTATGGAAGAGGGGTTGCTCCAGGGGACAGAAATAGGGCAAACGAGTCCTGCAAGTTATAGGGAGGTAGATTTTAGCTCCATATAAAGAAACAGCTTTCTAATAACTAAATCTGTCCAGCCACAGACCAGAAAGGCTCAAATTCATCAGCAGATATATTTGAGCAGAGGATGTATGACCACAGAAATTATTCCTTCTTTAAGAAGGAGGTTGAATGAGATGATTATTTAGATTACTTCCAACTTCAGAATTCTATAATGAAACAAACATAGCCTTAGATACACCATAAGAAAGTTGTGAGAAATATGCAGACATATATCTCCTCTACACTAGTTTGTATTTCTAGCAGGAAGACAAATTCAAGGAAAGGAAAAGACCTGCAAAGAGCAAAACAGTTACACTGTTCTCCCACCTCTTATCTCTTTCCTCATCTCCTTTTCACCTCCTGCCCTCCTCTCCTTTTTCTTCTTTTTACCCCTTACTCTAGGCTTGTTTGATAAATTTTATCAGCAATACTCCTTTATCAGTAGGAATGTGTCAAGTATTTTGCTCAGTATAATAGTGTTCTAAGTGTTTGGTCCTACACTGGCTTTGAAATTCTATAGCAATTTAGCAATTTCCTCTTTGATCCTTAAGTTGAGTTTATCTAGAAACTAGTTTAAGGTGCCACACAGAGTCCTAAGTAACCAACAATTACGTCATGTTGAAAGCAAAACAATAGCAAAACTCCCCCTTTTCCAGATTCTCCACCTGCTAATATGCCCTCTCCCCAAAATGACCTAGTGTGTATTTTATATTTATTCTTTTATTCTCCTCTTTTCTCTCCCTTCCTCCCTCTATTTCTCCTCTCTCTCCATTCTTTCTCTCTCTGTCTCCCTGCCTCATCTCTCTGATCTCTCCCCTACTACACTGTATTTCTCCTCCTCTTCTTCTTTCTCCTCCTTCTCCACTCTCTCCTCTCACAAATATACATGTACGCACATACGTGTGTGTGTGCTTATACTTACATATGTTGTCACCCCCAATAAGATGTAAGCTCCTTAATTGTAAAGTGCTTAGCACAGTGCCTGGCACATAGTACATGCTATATAAATGTTTGCTATTATTAAGGGTAGAGACTGTTCCATTTTTCTCCTTGTTTCCTTAGCACCTAGAATAGTCTCTGACCTGGACTAGGCACTTAATAAATGCTTATTTATTAATTGATTTAGAGTACCACTAACATGATCTGTGTCCTCCTCTCCCCTCAAATAATATGCCCTATTCAATCAGCATTTATTAAGTGTTCACTGTGTGCTAGGAACTCTGCTGAACACTGGGAAAGCAAAGAGAGACAAAAATGCAGACCCTACCCTCAAAGAGTTTAATATTCTAAGTGGGGGCAGAGGGGACAACAGAGTAGAATATATTAAAAGAAAAAAACCCTATATGTTCAAGATGCAGACAGTGTAAATTGGGGATAATCTCAGAGATTTTCAACTTTCAAATTCTCTCATTCAGCATATCACCACCATAACTAAAACAGCTGTTCTCACTCTCCCCTCAATGTTCTCTATCAACCAAGTACTTCTTGCTGTTATGGTTTACCCTGAAGGGGACTCACCTGGGCTCTCCAGAGCTCATCCCGTTCATGGGCCACCCGCCAGTGAGTATCACCCATCATGGCAATGAAGAGGTTGAGCATCAGGAGGACGGCAATGATGGCAAAGGCAAAGTAGACCACACTGTACATGAAGGGCAGATCCACATCATAGTTGGCAGGGCCATCAATGATTGTAAGGAAGAGCTCAAAGGTGGTGAATAATGACATAGGATAACTGAAGAAATGGCCCAGCTGCCGTGGGTTCTCTGTCTGAAAGATGATATAAAACGCTGCTCCACCCAAGGGAGCAGTGGGGGAAAGAGTGGTTACCATAACAATCAGGGGCTAGGGGTTGGCATACTTCCTGTCCTTTTCTCCTTCTGATATGGCTAATGTTGAGACTTTCCATAACTCTAATGAGACAGCCCACATTTGATACTAATGACTCTACTAATATTAGGATTGGCATGGTCCAATCTTTTGATACAATTTATAATTTAAAAAAATGACTTGGCACTAGAGTTCACATATTAAGGAACTGATCAAGTGAAAATGACACTGTTGCATGAATAAATGACTAAATTAATTATGTGCCCAGCCTTTGGGTATCATTTCTTTCTTCTCCTTATCTCATATTTTTATTTGTGCATTTGTGGGCAAGTGTGAGTTTATGGACATCAAAACTTGGATAAGACAGACCAGAAATTAGCAGTGGGTTAGGAAAAAGTGATATTACCAGAGGCAAAACCCAGGATAACCACAGCCATCAGCCAGCAAAATCGTAACAGATCCCCAAAAAACATCTGCAGGGGGCAGAGAAAAGAATAAAGGACTGAGACAATCACTTCTCAAATAGTTGCTCCTTCCTCCCCCCAACACAACGAGTCTATCCCTAAAGAACCATAAGCTCCAGCATAGTTTAGTTTATGTCATAGCCCTTGTCTCCAACCTGCTGACTTTGCTTCTCTGGAATAGCTTAAACAAGAAGATGCTGTCCAGCCCGGAAGCTGGAAGGAGAAACACTGACCTTCTGGATCATAATGGTGAAGGGGCCCAGCATCTGGAATCCTCGGGCGAAGTACATAACATTGCACCAGCCAAGCACCAGGGCAAAAGACATAGGCACCACCTCCCCAGATGTGCTGGTGAGCCGCATCACCATGGTCACTAGCACCAAGCAGGCATAGATGATGCTTGGGTAAGAGGAGGGAGCAAAACATAGGGCACGTGTGAAGGGATGGCTGGGAGGCTGTCCCAGGCCTCAGCTGCAAGTTGTGTGTGACTTCCACTGTTCACATATACTCATGCACACAAAATTACATACACAACATGCATGCATTCAAATTCAGGCACCTATATTGCATCAATTTAGACACATAAATCCCCTAGCAATGGAGTTCCTCAAATTGAAGGCTAGCTAAGACACAGAGTGTAGCACCATTAGTCTGGATGAATCCCAAGGTAGGGAGGAAATAAGAGAGAAGGGACTCACATGATGACATGGAAAGGTCCTCCAAGGATGGTGTGTCCAAAATATCGAGTGAACCCAATTCTGAAGATGTCTGGAATCTGAAGAAAACATGTATATGATAGCAAAAGGGACAGTGCTTTAAGGTGTCAAAAATTCCATTGGAGAGTGAGGGGAGGGGTTCTGCCGATTTTTCCTTCCCCCCCCACTACCTTTAGTTTATCTTCTGAATTAACCTCAGTGTCTTGGAGGGGGCCCTCATGTCTACCTGCTTAGACTCAAACTTTATTTCCCAGGAGTGCTGCTCAATTGTCAGGGAAAGAGTCCAAGGAAGAAAACAGGGATCCTACCTAAAGGCAGAAATAAGGAAGATTTGTCTAGGACTAATGAGGAAATAGAAAGAGGATGGAGAACCCTGATCCTCAAGAGTCAAAACAGTGGATGTGAGTCTTAGAAGGAGAGTGGTGGTGATAGGGAGTTTTCCTGGGATTCACCTTCCCTTAGAAACTTCTACAAGTGCATACAGTACTATGACATTTCCTCTGGTACTGTGGGCTCAGATCTGGCTCTCCTGACTTTTCCTGGGACTCACCTTCCCTTGGGTCTCCTGACATTAACGCCATCTCTTGTCCAGATCAAGTGTTTAGGATGGCCTTTTGGTACTTCTAGACATGTTCCCATGGTGATGCCATAAGTGCTACCGGCCAGCTAGCCTATCTCAATGGAAGGGGTTCCTCATTTCAGTAAACAAAGGGGCAAGTCCTATCTACTCCTTGCCCTCACTTAATATACGGGACTGCTTTGTCTTCATTCCCCACCTGTTCTTGCCTGAGGGGAAAATGCTAATCATGAATCAGAAATTGGGATAAAGCGCAAGGGAGACCTACAGGACACGTGGGGCCCATTCTGGGAGACCAGAATGTCTTCATGCTTTAAACTAAGGGGCCAAGTTATCCCCTGCCAACACCCTACCTCTGAGAGTAAAATGGCCACAGCCCCAATGACAGACACCAGCTCCCCAACCAGCCGAACATGATCCTCATAGGTCACGTATGATTCCTATAGGGAAAATCAGGGTCAAAAGTTGGATGCAAAGGAGGAATTGATTTCTGTCTTCAATGAGGAAGGAGCAAACTAACCCAGGATCTTTCCCACCTTCCTTAATTGTTTTTGCCTATTTGGTTATCTCTGTGGTAGGGACTTTACATCCTATATATTCTATGTAAGCAAGTACTTAAATATAATGACTGAGCAAGTGCTAACCAAGTTTCTTTCTCATTTAAAAAAAATTTTTTTTTGAAATTCAAGTAATTTTGAGTATACATGATCCTGTCAAAAGCAGAGACCATTCTAATCACATGTCAACTACGAACAACTATGGTCATACACCAAAAAAAGCTTCTTAGAGCTTGAATAAGAAGATGAGGATCTCAGTTTTCTCTCTGAGTCCCAGTAATCCTGGGTGGAAGCCTGAGGAAGAGGACCTAAGTCATACAGTGAGTCATAGTCTGACTCCTAGTATAGTGTAGGGACTTAGCACAAGCCAGGCCAGGGAAAGGAGCAGAAGAGCTTTAGTACCTGGGATTGGGAGTGCATTTGGTAATAGTAGCATGTTGGTGGTGGTGGTGGTGGTGCATTTAGGTGAAGATCAATTGATTATTAAGTGAGGAAGAAAATGGCTCCTAGGCCTTCTCTAAGTAACCCTGGAATGGTTAGTCATCCATAATTTAGGGTGATAATTAAATCAGTGGGGTTTCCTTATAAAGAGACTTGGAATTTTAAATGGGGTGCCAAAATACTTTGCCATTTTAATAAGAAATGGCCTTGCCTTCTCTTCTCCTGCCAAAGATCAGAGGGTTGGATGATTACTTGTCAGAGATGCTGCAGAAAACATTTATTCATGTTTTAGGTTGGGGTTGCAGTAGATAACATCAGAGGTTCATCCCAATTCTGATATTCTAGGATTCTATGAAAAACTTGGGAAACCCTGGAGATGTAAGCTGATGTGTTTTTTTTTTTCCTAAATGAAGTAGACATATAATAGGACTGAAAAGATATTGCAGACTTATCAAATAGCCAGGAAAAATTATGAATCTGAACTGTGACATGGATGGGATGGACTTAAGTGGCTAGATAGGGGTATCTAGAACCACAAGAAAGCCTCAGAAACAACCTAGAGCTGGATTCAGCACCGACTCTGTGTCTTTGATGACATATGTTATGTACATTACATATCCTCAGCCTAATACAGTATTTCCCTGGTACTCAAGGCAACCAACTTGAGAATGTGTCACTGTCACGTTGACTTGTTTACTAAGGAGAGAGCCAGGGGTGGATGTATGAAATAAAGGAAGGACTGTTTTGCTGAAGCCATGGCTACAGAAAAGAGCCCCACAGCCTTTAAGAGTATTACCATAAGTCTCCTTCTGTCTTTCCTCGACTCTGCCTGACATTCAGACTTTCACCTGTCCCTGAGAGGAAGGAGGAAGAGATGAAGGCTGAATAAGAAAGAAGTTTAGGAGAGGGGCATGGAAGGGACATAGAAGGAGAAAAATGAAGAGGCATATTGGAATTCTAATTACTTCATTCTTAGAAGAAAGAAAAAGAAAGGGATTCATGTAGATAGCTCTAGATGTTTTTGTCAAGAAATATGTTTGGTAATAGGCAGCCCTGCTTCCCAAAGACCCAAAAACAAAAAGAAATAAAGAAATGAGATCCACTGAAAGATTATACAACAGTTTCAGGAATCAAGTCCTTGTCCAGACCTGTCTATACACCAAAACAAAATATATTCTCCCAAGAAACCTAAAGCTATAGAAAGATGGAGGACACAAAGGCCAAAGACATCTAGTTTTCCCTATGCCTTCATCCTTCTTGTTCCTCTGTCACCCTGCAATGTCATCTCTCAACTCCCTCTCCTTAATCGTCTCTGCCTTTAGTCTCTTTTTACTTGGGGAGCTGTCTTGTGGCTACAGCAAAGAACAGAGACCTCCCCTCAGCCTCTGTCCTCTCATATAATAAACTATCTGCTCCCAGACCAGGCTGCCTGAAAGTAACTGAAACTACTTGAGGGCAGATCTGAGGATAAATAAGAAAGAATAGCACTATATCTAGATATCTAGATGTACAACTATAGGGACCAAAGCTGATTAGGAGCTCGGCTTTGAATAGATGAAGACAAGTCTCCCTATGATTTTCCTTTCAACTTGTGGTCCTTCTTTCAGTACTTAAGGTATCTACAAAGAATCTATATTCTCTTCCTAGAAGGAATCTTTCTTATTTAACCATTGACACACCTTTAAAAATTAGCTATAATCATTTACCATACACTCAAACACCAGCATAAAATATCATGCATGTGATGGTTGGGGAAGGGCGTACCACCTATACCCATACAAATATATTACCAATAGTTAATATTTCCATTCCCTTCCAGTCTCTCTCTCTCTCTCTCTCTCTCTCTCTCTCTCTCTCTCTCTCTCTCTCTCTCTCTCTCTCTCTCTCTCTCTCTCTCTCTCTCTCTCTCCATCTCTCTCTGTCTCTCTTTCTCTCCCCCATCCCACTCCATTCTCTTTTTCTTGGAGATTCTTATGGAGGGAGAACACAAAATCACAGAACCATAGAATCTTAGAGTTGCAAGGGGCTTTAAAGGTCATTGTATCCAAACTTCTAGCCACAGGAGTCCTCCACAGTGTCCATGACAGGTGGTCTGACAGGTGAAAAGTTATTGCCATTGAGCTCATATTGACAGTATACCCAGGAATGAATGAAGGACAATAGGGTATGTTTGCGTTGACAAGACACATCAGAAGTATACTTCAGTATGTCTGAGCAGAATATCCCTCCCTTGAAACAGCAGATTTCCCTTCTGACATCACAAAGGACTCATCCTTGTTAAAGTGTATGTGAATATGTACTTAGAATAGCTAGGTGGTACAGTGGATGGAGCACTGGGTTTGGAATAATCAACACTTATCTTCCTGAGTTCAAATCTGGCCTCAGACACTGGCTATGTGACCCTGGGCAAGTCACATAACCCTGTTTGCCTCAATTTCTTCATCTGTAAAGTGAGCAAACCATTCCAGTATCTCTGCCAAAACCCTAAATGGGGTCACGAAGAATTAGACATGACGGAAACAACCTAACAATGAGAACACACAAGTGTAATGCATTTTGCATAGCAATTTGGAACCATAAATGTTTTCGTATCTATTATCTCATAGCATATTCCCAAAGGTCTTATAGGTTACATTACTATTATTCCTATCTGAAAGATGAGAAATCAAGTTTTAGAGAAGTAATTTGTTCTAGGTCCCGTGACTGGACAAAGATTGGACTCAGACCTAAGTATTGTGGCTTCAAAACCACTATCACACACTCTACAGAGAGAACAAGGAGAAAGGAACAAAACTTTTATTAATTGCCCCTTATGTGCCAGGCACTGTGCTGAGCTCCTCACAAATATTATCTCATTTGATCCTACCAACAACCCTGGGAGGTAGGTGCTATCATGATAGCACCCCATGTTACAGGTGAAGAAACGGAAGCAAACAGAAGTTAAGTGACCAGTGTCACAGGGTCACACAGCCAGCAAATGGCTGAGGCTAGATTTGAACTTAAATGTGACCACTTCCAGGACCAGTGCTCTATCCACTGAAGAAATTATGTCTACATGTTGTTTCATCTGTAAGGTGATGTGTGGGATGGACCAGAAGTCTCTTCTACTTCCATGATTACCTATAAGTATGTCTCAAAATCAGTAGTTCTTTACTGTGAAGAGAGTGAGGATATGAGTGTAAAGACTTTCAGAAATATCAGGATAATACATCTGGACCTATCAGACACATACTCAATTTTTTTTTTCTTCCAGGAAGTTTTCTCCATAGAACTCATTAGGCTAGTTATCTTTCTACTTAACTAAGGCCATCCTTTAATAGCCTCCCTTCTTTCTAAGAACCACGAATCCCATCTGATCTTATCCATTCCTGGCCCTTCATTTTTCTCTGGCCTCATTCCATTAATTATCCCCTCTCTCTAAGATCATCATTATAATCACCTCCAAATCCTCTTTCACTTTTGGAGTCATTTACTTATTGTCAGAATATGTTACCATTCCCTGGGTCTCAATTACCTACCAGACCTAGACCTTTCCCCAGCTCATATCTACTGACATGCATGGTCTGGACTGTTTCTTATAAAGGATGACTTGGTAGCACAGAATGCCTAGAGCCCAGTGGGGAGGCAGACAGAGGAGAGGACAGAATATTGGACCTAATTCCATTTTTTTATCTTCAGCACCGTGCCCCCCTTTCCCCATCTTTCCATCCCTCTCCCAAGGGCAGGCACCTGAAGACATTTTTCCTGGCGGACATTAATGTCTCGTGAGCTGGTTTGATTGTTGCTCCGAGGCTTGAGAGGACGGTAGATACAGCACATGGTGAAGCACACCATGTAGAGAACATACGTGGCACCCAGAATGTAGAAGTAGCGTCTCCCAAACCTGTTCCACTTGAGGCTCACCAGTTGCTTCACAGGGGTCTGCTCTAGGATCTGGCGGACCTGGTAAGAAGGAGGAGGTGGGCCCTCAGGGAGCATGTGGTCACTGACTGAACTCACATCAACTCTATAGGATTGCCCTATACAGTCCTGGGGGGAGATACTAACAACACACCATTACGAATAAGGCTCATTCTTGCCTAACCCTACTCAAAATTTCTTTCTTGCAGGAAGCTTTCTCCATCCAACTCTTTCTTCTCCTTTATTTCATTTCCTCCAAACATAAATATGTACTTAGTTTACACCATATTCATTTACACTTGTGGATGTATTACTTTGTAACCATTCTTATGTCAATTCAATTGAAAAAAAGGATAGCAACATGGTACAAATGATAATCATGATAATAATAACAATAGCATGCATATGGCAATTTAAGGTTTCCAAAGTATTTTATGTGTTTTTTTTTTCATTTGGTTCTCACAACAACCTTATTTTATAGGTGAGGAAACTAAGTGTTAAGAGACTAGGCCAAGGTCCCTGAACCACTAATCATCTGAAGGACGACCTGAACTCAGGTCTCCCAGACTCCAGGTCTAGCACTCTATCTACCACACCACCCAGTAGATAGAGTACAGTGTTTGACTCATAGGCTACAGAATCAAGGAAGGTGAGAAAGTGCCACCAGAGTCAGTAGATGCGAGGGATGTGGGGAGGGTGGCATAAGCAGATGGCAGACTTCACACAGACAACCATGTCATCAGTTTCCACCATGCTCCCAGCATCTTCATACCCATCATCCACTGAACTTCCTGATGCTTTCCTACCACCCTTGCTCACTTCAATATCCATGGTGATGATTTCTCTAGCACGTGGGCTTGTTTTTTGGATTTCCTCAACTCTCATGGTCTTCATCACCATTCCACTTCAGATATCTATAACCACCATCATACATGTACCTTTTCATTCACATTTAAGAGAACTAGAACTCTTGAGATTTACTTCTCTTATTATAGCCTCGTATCCTAATTTTTGCATTCGTGCACCCTTTCAGAGATTATCTCAACATTGCTCTCTTGTCCCAAGCCTTACTCCCTCAACTTTTCCTGTTCTCCTAGTCTCAGTCTCTTCCCAGTTTAACTTGCCTTCTGACCCAAGATGGACTACTCTCTTTCAAAAGTATTCTGACCAACACCTTAGAAGCCCTCCTCTCCTCTGAACTTTTATCATGCTTGCCCCAATTCTGGGTAGATTGTAAGACCCGTTTTTTTCCCATCCACGGCTACCAAGTGTTATAGATGTTATAAGTCATGAAGTCCACCACAGATTTATGTTACTTAGCTTCAGCTAGGCCTTAACAAACATCTAGGCCAGTTTGACAATATTTCTGTATATCTCTAGTTGATTCACTATTAAATTTCCCATATCATCTAGCATCAAATGTTTTTCCCTCTCCTTCAAAGTCCAATTTGCCTTCATTCTACTCATCAACATCGTTATCTTTCTACTTAAGTGAGGCCATCCTTTAAGAACTCCTTCCTTTCTAAGAACCACAAATCCCATCTGAACTTACCCAATTCTGGCCCTTCAATTTTCTCTCTGGCTTTGTTCTACCAATTATCCCCTTTCTCTAGGACCTTCTCTAGTTCCATCACCTCCAATTCCTCCTTCACTTTTACCTGTATTAGAATCATTCATAACTAGGGTTTCTCTGCCCTAATATGTTATCAGTAACAACATCACCCATCCTTTCCCCCAAGCTCCTTTTTCCCTATCTTCTTTGCTTTTGTAACAGTATTTTTGTAGCCAAATGTTACAAAAGTGTGCCCACCTCTCATTCCCTCTTCAAATCTTTTCAGTCTGGCTTCTCACCCCACCGCTCAGTTGAAGTTGCTAATTCAGTGACAATTGTCAGTTGTCAATGGACCCACTTTATTGGCAAATTCCATCTCTTTTTTTGTAGTTCTGTCTTCTCTCCTCCACGAAATACTCAATGCCATTAGCCACCTCTTCTCTTCTCCCTGCCCCATGTACTTCTCTTCCATGGCTTCTTCAATGTGGCATTATTTCCTCTTACCTCTTTGACTTCGATTTATATCTAGCTCCTTCAGAGGCTCTTATTTTTCTTTCTTTCCCTTCAGCGTAGGTATTTGGTCCTTGGCTACTATCTTCCTTAGTAATTACTAGAATCAGTTACTCTCACAGCTTCAACTATCATCTCTTTTTGGCAGGTTCCCAAATCGATGTCCTCTTTGCTGAACTCCAGATTTAAACTTCCAGCTGCCTAGTTAACATCTTCACCTGGCT